CATTTCTTGTTTTTAACCGTTTGTTCGTAATTGACTCCACCATTTCTGCGGATCACCCTTCCTCTTGACCACCACTTCGGTCCTCGGAACTCGCGCGCGTACCCCCTGTCACCAATTCTAAAATGACACACCCTATCTGTCCGACTTTCCCCGTATGACGACTGCAATGCTTTTCTTTCCTGATTAGCACAACGCGTGTTGCTCTGGATACTGGTTTAGTGGCTAGCTTGAGGTTCAGGGCAGCACTGGTGATACTGCAGAATTCTGGACCAGGTTGGAGCATTGCTTCGTGGCGTCTATGCACCTGTGTAATCTGACTGCCATTGATTCCTGTCGTTGCACCTTTAAGTTTGATAGACACATCTGATTCTGAAGTGACAGTGTGGCAGAAGTTTCGCTCCTCCATAGCTTCTGAATTTCCGACCACATTTGCAGCAGGAGTCAATTTGAGCAACTTCTGACATTCTGAAACAATTTCTTGCGATGTCAACTTCACTTCCAGTTCCCACTCTACTTGAATGTTTAATATTTGTGATAACATTGCCATCAGCTGCCTCTGTAACTTTTCGAACTGCGTCTGCTGCTCCTGCAAAAGTGCCTGCAATTGCTCAAAGCTGACTACCATTTTGGGTTCGATTGAACTCTCGTCGCCACTGTTGTGACGCTGCACTTTTGCCTCTGCCTCTCTGCGCTACCAACAAGCCGGGGGAAACAAAACGCAGAGCTTGCTAAACCGAAGTATCTTAGGCACAAAACATGGCTACTTTTATAGGTCACATGCGCTTACCTTGCCTCTATCACTGAGGTGAGTCACACCGCTTGTCTGAACATATTCGACTCTGGTAGCGGCCATCTCTCTCTGACTGCAGGTAGGATCACGTCCCCAACGTAGCTACCCGTGCGGCGACGACGGTCTGATTTCGTCAGCTTCCGGTTTGACCATGGCAACCAGTCTGTCAGCCGCTCACGTGATCTGGCCGATCTCGCCCCGCTAGTGTGCACCATCGTAGTCAGCTGTTTCGCCTCCGTGACATCGGGTCTCGCTGAGCACCGCAATATCGATGTTGTAGCGTGCCAGTTCCATTGCGACTAGTGCAGTGTGTCGTTCGGGACGCTCACTCGTATTCCGGTCGAGCAAAGTGCACACGTTCCAGCACCCAATTTTGAGCGCTCTGCTCGGAGGCATACAACTGCATTGGCGAGAAACCTTATGAGAGGTGACGTCCCGGATTGGAGGAAGTAGTGGGTTAGGTGAAACGGGGACGGAGAGAGTATGTGCAGGGTATGAAGAAAGAAGCGAGGCACCAGCAGTAGCATGTTTTCGCTTATCCACCCCGCTGTATGCAGCAGATAAGGCGACCCTTTTCCTAAGGCCACTGCGCGACGGCCGATGCAGCATGGATTTATTATTATTGGCGTAATTCATGGTTCGGAGGTTAGACTAACTTACTGCCATTTCGCCCACACCTAACAGAAGAACGACTCGGGTCCTCAGCCAAAGCCTAAACGCAGCGGGCCGAGCGCCATGAGTCAATGAACCGACTCACGCGGAATTTTATTCTGGATTTTAGCTAGAAGAAGGGTGTAATCCAACTCCCACCCAGCGGTCGCCACGAGGAGGCGTCCAGGACATGAGCCCACAGCACAACATTAGCAGCAGCGGGTCGACGATCTGTCAGGATCTCGCCACCACAAGTTTCAGCGCACTATGGGCTCTCGTCGTATATATATATATATATATATATATATATATATATATATATATATATATATATATATATATATATATATATATATATATCTGTCGTACAGACATTGCACCATCAGAATCAGGGCGGAATAGCAAAATGCGATCAAACTACGACCCAAAGCAGGCAATCTTTTTGTCCATTTTGCGTCTTATCATTTATTTATTTTTTGTCAGTGGATCGTTTGCAGGCAGTCAGGTAGGTGATTGAGTCATCGAGCAGCTCCAGCCCCCAGTTTTTAGACCGATTCTATCCTGTATCATCCTCTTTCTCATTTCTCATTTTCACCATTGGAACCTGCGGCAGCAATACATTAGTACATCCATTGATATTTACCTTCTGCTGATAGGGTGTATCGGGAACTTTTCCTTTTTAACTTAACGCTATGCAACACTAAACATGAGGTGTTCAGTTACACAAAGTGGTGATTCCGCCGCACCTACAATCCTGTGTTCGGCAACGGACGTGTATCTTCTGAAAGATGTTTCGTGTTTCGGCCACTAAAACGACTGAAGGTCAACGTAGTCGTATGCTGCTTTGCTAACCCGTTTAGGATTGGTTCCAAAGAAATTTCGCTTATTGAGGGGACTTGATGAAAGTGTTCCTGCTTGTGAAAGTCACTAACGATTGACCTTAAGGTATCTGCCTCGGACTACCAGCGGGAACGTCTTATAAAACTCAAGCAGCAGAGGTCCAGACTGGATATCGGGTTAAAATCGTTCATGAATCACGTAGCGTCTGACTGGAGAATATTTGTCTTAGTCGAATGCTGCACGGTCCAATTCTGAATGGGGTTTTATTGATTCTGTCGTCTGAACTACCCTAAGATTGGTGGGGCGTTGTGACTAACATCTCACGGTATAGACTTGATATCATAGGCTACTGCACGAAAATGACACCAATTGCTCTTACTCCAGCATTTCTTAGGTTACATATATAGGAGCGATCAATTGTACCTCGAAATGCCCGGTGCCCAAACTTGCTTACTGGTACTCAAAACGTTATGCTCCTTTGACGAAGCCATCAATTGTGCTTGAGAACTTGCCCGGCCTCTGTCGGTGTCATGCACTCATAAGTAGAAGTGAAAAGTGGGGATGTGCTACGTGAGCTGGACACTCCAATCAAGTACGCTAGTGCTACTTGGCACTCGCAATGCTTAGCAGTTAATGGTATTCAGTCATGTAAGAGTACTTGAGATCTTCAGGTCAGAGATACCAGTTCTCTCTATCGTAAAGTTTCATGGTCTCTGCTTCTGTCGTTGTAGACGGCTTGTAGGAATAAGAGAAACTACCTTCTGGCGCCGCAGCTGTCGCAATCTCGCCGTTCTGTCGTGAGAGATAAGTGAGCTAATCTTGGCATACACGCGACCTTCGCTACTAATGCAGACACCACGATAGTTGAATGGACCAATTAGCTCCATTCGCTTTCATCGAGGTTCTGGTGGACGATGGTCGTGCAGGAACGCTCTGCGCTTTTAGTGTGCGAAGCGTTCGCCGAAAGGTGTTATCACCCCAGTTCTAGGTGGTGTCGCCAGCATAGTTCGGCATTATCAACAACTGCAGTGTATCAATAATATGGGCTGATGCTTCGCTGCCGTGGAACCACAATCGCCTAGGGAGTTGAGAATAATAAAAGGGAGAGAAGGGGACATAGTGTAAAGCCTAAACAGCCAAGAAAAACATTCGCGGTCAAAGTGCCCGTACATTGTCAACAACACGCGGTCACAAGTAGCTGGCTATTGTTGGAAGGTGGTATTGGCGAGACAGCCTCCTTGTGACCTAGTCTTCTCCACGTTATAATCGGCCAATGCTCCGCAGATAACTGTATATGAGGCAAGTCGACTAAGAGACGGCAGCAAACGCGCTACTGATGCAGACTGCGAGCCATGTCGTGGGAAGTTTCGGGCCATGCACACGGCTGGCCACGTAGACTCTAACTTGGAAGGTGAGAAGGACTACTAGCACTCAGTTTAGCCGTCAGTCACACCAATTTTTCCACTATGCAGCACCACAATACCTGCATCGCAGGATTCCACAAGCGAACACTTGCTGATGCAGTCTTCGATAAATGGTTTACGTAGTTGTGTTGTTGGAGCACCTCTTCCGTACGCTACCTCTTATAGTAGAAGCGACACGACCTGAGATGTTTGATGGCGAGCCTCCGTAAAAAAATTCTGTTTTTTTATAAGAACAAACTTCTAGTATAGTGCATCTAGCAGATCTTGTTAATCAAGGGAGTCGAACACGCTCTTGGGAAAACACAGCGGTGGTCATCTGGCAGTATGTGGGGCTTCGCAATGACGCCTTTTACAGTGAAAAGTCTGTGTCCATCTCAGTCGAATGTTTTCGTGTTCCAATAATAACAACATAAACACTGATGATAATTCATTACGATGTTACTTATTATTATATTTAACGTTTTCAACCGTATTTTGATTCACTTGTGAAGATTTACGTTTCTGCTTGCTTCCATACTAGTATTCACCATTCGGCATATGCACCTCAATCACGTGAGAGACTGTACTCAAAAATGGATTAGGTTATCTTGTGTAATTGTGATCTCATACTGTTGGATGAGTAGCACATGGGTAGACGATTGTCTCTAGGCAAGCAAGTTCTTGTGTCCGGCCGATTGCCAAAGATCTCAGGAGTCTAGCTTGTTGTGGCTGAAAAGTCACCAACTTGAACGAACGCCATAGCAGTGCTCCTGACCCTCACCTGATTGGTCTTTATTGCGTGACAGCAAAGCGTTGGTACGACATAACGATCTACTGCTTATGTCTTTTTAAACAGGTTCCTGCAGCAGTATGAGATTGGCTGAACTGCAGTTAACTGAAATTTCGCGTGGTTAGATTTCGAAATCCGAGTTGTGAGCGCTACGTAAACGTTCCGTAAATTCGTTATATGTCCAGCATTACTGTGTGCCAGGCGAGTCACAATGAATTACCAGGCAAATGCAACCATGGAGTACGTGGAGATTGGGAGACAGGCTTTTGTGTCGGTCCATGTTCGCGTCTTGCTAACCAGAGATGGTCTGCTGACGGAAGTCCGCTTGTGGCCGATTTGCACATGACGTCTGCCTTGCATTCCAAATGTCACTGGTTCGGATCTGGGTGAATGCGGTCTACCTCAAAGTGCCCGTAGCCAGCGCGCGCTTAGTGGTGATTGCGTGGTATCGTGGCTTCTGTACGTCTTACCAGCGTTGTACTGATGCCTGTTAACGGAAATCTTCATCTTGCTATCAGTTCCTCCTATGGAGGTTTCTGTACGAGTTGGTAAGGCCCCTGTGGCTCCACGTACGTGTGTGTGGTGGCCTTGGGATATTGGCTTATTGTTTTGAGTAAAGTCTCCTATGCTATTGTTAACTCAGACATTATTGTCTGTCTTTTGAGATGCCATGAAACCGTTTCGGACACATAAATTTGCGAAGTCCCACTTTTTCTGAGTTACGAATGAAAAGTTTTGGGTTTCAAAAGACCAAACGCGATACAAAGTTTTTGCATTTTTCAACATACTCACTCTCAAACGCAACATACTTGCTCCAGTGGTGCCGAAGCACCTTTATTCCAGGGAAAAGAAACATTATGACTGCAAGCTGTTCTACAGTTTAAATGACGTCACTGTCGCTGCAAAACTGTTGGTCATCTAAAGCTATTTTCGCAAATATATTTAAACCAGAATAAAGTGATAGAAATATGAATTTGTATGATTTGAGTGGGGAAAACTTGTGCTAGGCACGAAACCTTTTGTTCTCGCCGCGTATGTCGCACCACCTGGTTAGTACTGCTGTTCCAGCCATTTTGTATTTAACAACGAATCTCCTTGCACCGCTTTGAATCTATTGTTGATCATGAACTGGGTAGCATGCTTCGAATGTCTGCCAACTGCGTACCATAGTCGCGTACCGCGCTTATCAATATTTTACCGGATTACCTGAGGTCTTCTGTTGGTCATCCGATGCATTAGCTGTTGAGCTTGAAGAAATCGACGGGGCAACATGATTGACGGCATATGTGTATACAAGCTTCTCTCGCAATAACTGTTCAAATGATCCAGTCTAGCATCCTAGGTGGGACCCAAAGGGCCGTTCAACTTGATGGTTATAGACCCCCTCGACATGATACAAACGTGAAGTTATCCCCTTCGTACACAATGTGTACATATGTACACAGGCATCGAAGTTTCTTTTCGAATTTTGTTTACAAATGTACACATACTTTCATTTGCATGATTGACAATTAACGATCATCTTTGTTCACTTCGCTATGAAATCAAGTGCATTGTTATCAACACAAACAATAGGTTTTTGGATCAATGTTATTGCCTCTATACGAAGGAGTTATTAGCGCTATTGAATTCGATCTGCAACGGTTATCTACCTCGACATCTGGTATCCTATCAGAAGTCAAACTCATTGGATCATAGCAATTAACTTTCTTATATCATATAGCGGTTATCCATCGTGTTTCATTGTCACCCAAACCTAATGGGGAAAACGACTTTTATTTTCTGAAGTGCGACCCCCACTTTCCCACTCTGGGAGTGTACTGTTGTTATCTGCCTTTTTATCTGCTAGCATCGGTTTTCTTTCAGATAGTTTTTTCTCTTCTTACCCTGGATTTGACCCCTAATAAGGCAATTCTATTGAAATGATAGAACGCTTGAGAGGTTCTTTCTAACACCCACTTATCCTTCATCGAATGAGGTTAACGAGTGGCGTTCTATCACCCCTAGTCGATATGGAAGTCCAGGTTATCGACATATATTAGAGGGGATTCATCCTCGTTTGCAGTCTGTGCTGTTACACACTGTTGAAAACAGACCTCATGTATACGTTCCAGACTCGACGTTAACTAGCTTCACATGTGTACTGCCCATGATTTTGTGCTTTGCTGAACTTGAGGCTTTTCTGTAACCAATAAACCAACCTTTACTTGAAGATGTTCGTGGCACTTCGCTGCCAACGAAATTGTGCTGTTATCCCCTTCCATCTCATTTTTTCTTCATGTAGACGCTGAATCGGACACTTTCTCAGACGATTTCACCGCCACAGGACCCCACCATGACCGTTCATCAAGCGTTGCAACCCGCAGGCGCTTTTTCCGTGGTTTTCGAAATGGCACTTCCAGACTAGATTCAACCCATTACAACTCCCAAAATCTTCGGCATGACGTCTTTCAATCAAGACGGAGCGACCCCTACTCAGAGGTCTCACCTTCTGTTCCGAGGAACACGGATGATTGCAGCCCACACTCTGTTGACCCCGCTTACGTCTCTCCAAATGTGGAATCCTCAGATTTTCCCGCTTCATTGACCGACAAAAATGTAATGGATACGGAACTTCGCAATAGTCTTGCGTATCTTAACCGTCGTTTACAGAATCGCAGTGTTTCTGTGGAGCTTACTGCTTTCTTTGATCTACTGTCCTCGGTGGAGGATTTTCGAAAGCGACTCAATAACCATGCATTTTCCCTTTCAACCCAATTGCTTGCTATTGAATCCAGTTTGGCAGCGACGGAGACAAAGACACATACCCTTGGTGAAAAGTCTACTTCAGGGCACAGCATAGACGAGGGCAACACTGCCAGTGCAAATGCACAACCACATGTCAGCTCCGAACCTCCTACTCAGAGGTTGAAAGCGCTACTTGGAGAGCATCGTCGTTACGTTAAAGAGTTCCAAAGTGTAAGTCTTATCCAGTCTTGGATTAATCCATTTGTTTTCTGCATTTTATCGCTCGGTTTTTTATTTTTATATCTGACCGAGGGCCATGCGCTATATTATACTTCGCGTGGTCCTTTCTTGTCATCTTAGGCCTCACATTCGGTATTTTATTCCGGTTTAGGTCAAAAGTCACTCCCTTCTATCGCATGTCCCAGGGTCAGAACCGTATTTGTGCCAATCCGCCGCGAGACACAAAGGAGCCAAACCAACTTCACGGCGCACTATTCGCTGTGCAGCAGCCACAACATCTGGCATTATTTCCTTTCTACGGCGCACATATTTGATTTGCCCGTCCACCATTGTTTGACGTTTCAACTCAGTCCACTTGGTTAGTTTTGCTCCGACCAAATTTTCTTGACTTGCTTCTTCCTACAATACGTCGAGTGAAGAATTAGAGCGAAATGCGAGGGACAGACATATCATTCAGAAGTGGATGTGATTTCTTTGCATTACTCCATAGGTGAAATGAAAAGCACCATTTGCTTGTTACCCCCATTATATCCTCTAGGGCCTGTGACCAATACCACCCTGGTTGAGATCCTTGTCTCAGGCAATGCACCCAACAACAACTGCATATGAGACCCTTTTCGCATCACTTGCTCATCTTTAGGGCGTGTTGTCCCGATAACACGTCTGTGCGCCGTGCTCAGGTATGTATGATGGAACTGATAGTCGACATCAGACGTGGTCGCATTACTACCCGGCGTCCGGCGTTGCAAGGCAGCCTTTAACCTCATGTTATTGTGGGACTTTGTGGCCTATCGTGCCTTGCTATACAACCCTTTTTGCCATCTTTAATCCACATACATTGGTTCGCTCATTCAAGTTGGGAGGCTTCTGTTTTAGTGTTTCATACTTAACTTTTCGGGAGGCTTTGTATTTCATCTTTTCCGGTCCTTATCTCTGAGGGCTTACTCTGTCTGCGTTTGCGATCTACTTGTTGAGCGCTGTGGTGCACCCAGTTGCGCTCATTTGCCTGGTGCACTGGCTGTTCATTGTTAGCTAATCTAGGCGTGAATCGGTTTACGTGTTGCACGCAGACCTACAACTAGGCTTCATAGTTTCGCATGCTTAGATGTCCATTTGTAATCTGCGAATTTCAATTGGTGTTCCGTCGGAGTTAACAAACCTTACAATGGATCTTGCCTTTTACTACGCATCCGTGTCGATCATGGTACAGAGATCACCTGTGCGAATTCTATCGGCAAATCCCGTTCCCCACCCACATGGCTAAAAGCACAGATGTTGTTGTCGTAACCGTTGACATGAGCGCCTACGTAGGTCATTTGTTGAGGTTCTTACTCTTCATGCTATTGATGTCGTTTAGTTTCTGCATTTCTGCCTCTATCAAACCCTTCGTATCAGCAGCACCGCTTTTTAACACGTGTTCAGTTTGTCGCTTTACTCCCACCGGATGATGCATTGCCCTAGATTCAGTTTGCCAGTGCATCCATCATTTGCAGATAGCACAGGCCTTGGGGTTATTTTCGATCGACTTGGAGCACCTGTCTAACTCCCGCTTACGCCTCGTGCACACTGGCTCGGCTTACGAAACGCCCAACTTTAGTGCAGGTATTTCTCCTGGACTCGTTGCTCTAAGATGCGCTATCAACCCTATTTGGAATACCATTAACCACTCAAAAACGTGATAATCACAGTTTTTTGTATGAGCGTCTCCAGCGTGCAACAAAGATTGCCTTATGAGCCTCGTGTTCACTTGGCCTCAGGCGTTTTGGCATCGAGCGGGTTTCCGTCCGTTTGTTTGATACACGAAGATCAATGCTTTCGTGTGGTCAATTTCGAAGTGCGCACAGCGTTATGGATCGTCCCTAATCAAGAGCATCAGAGTTTACAGGGATCATTGGGGGTTTCAAAATCCAATGAAATTGAGCCCATGGACGAGTATTGTACTATCTCAACCTGATCCACCGTCCTGAGAATTGGACTGAATAGTTAAATGAACAATTCAGTCGACTGAGTTTATCATCGTTGTTACTTGAATCGCTCGGCCCCACTTGTACAGTTGATGGAGTACCTTCTAACTTCTAAGAACTCCGACTTGAACTGGTG